CCACTGACAATTTCGCGGAGTATGCGTAGTGGGCTTTGATGAAGCATATCCCAGTCAAGATTCAGTGCATTAACGCCACACAGAATTAGGCAATCGCTGCCATCCCGGTCCTGAGTGAGTCCAGAACACAGTTACAGTTAGCGGATGGGGCTCTGTACACCACGCCGGCTGTAAGGGGTTGGTATTTGTGGTGAATTCGATACCAGAGAAATTCCGTACCGCCATCGCTGATCGTCACGATAGCGTGCGTTTTAAGTTCTGTTCTCCAGTCATCATCATCATCAACAGCAGTACATCAGCCATTTGAACTGATGCCTCGCTGCCATACAACCACGAGGACCTATGAAATAAAGAATAAGGACAGGGAGAGAAGGGGGACTTATCTGAAAACCTTAATGCCCTAAGCAAACATTCCGGGTCAAGGCGCCTACACCTTGTGTAGACAACATACCGTCAGAAACAGCTGGCTATCGTGCAAAGATAAGGCGGCATCGGCGAGACAGCTTCCTTGTTGCTTTCGCTTCCACGCGTCATAATCAGCCATTACCCCGCAGGTAACTCAGCACCAAACATACTTTAAACAGGCAATCCGATTAGAAGACGGCAGCAGACGCGCCAATGGTGTCGGTTGCGAGCCATGTCCTGCAAAGTCTCGAGCAAAGCACAAGGTGAGTCACGTGGACTCCAATCCGGAAGGCGAGACGGATCAACGGCACCAAGTTTGGTTGTCAGTGACTTCATTTCCCGCTGCCAAGTCAACTTCTGTCCACCTCGAGCCTTGCGCCATCCTACACCTGGTAGACTGAACAAGGCCCTCCTAGGTAAGCGGTGACCAGGCATGCGTAGCATGTGCCCGAGCCAACGCAACTTATTCAGTGCTATCTGTTGTTCTAGGGAGCTAGCATGATTATCATTACTTAGTACTCGCCTACGCACATCATCGTTGGGGATACGCTGGTGCCATCCGACCCCAGCAATGCTTCGTAAACAACGATGATCTAAGACTTGAAAACGCATCAGATCATCAGACCGAAGGGGCCAAGTTTCACTACCATAGAGCAGAACTGCCCTCACCGTGGCCTTGTATACACGGCCTTACAGACGGAGGGAAACTCCCTTCTGTCGCCAAAGATGCCGCAGGTTCAAGAAGGCAGCTATGGCTTTTGCAATGCGTGAGCTGACGTCAGTTTCTATGCGCCCATCGTTGCTGATGCAGCTGCCAAGATAAGTGAAATGATCAACCACCTCGAGTTCCTCGTTAGCAAGCGTCAAGGGGTCATCAAGCGGCTGGTGGTCCTGCAGCAACACTTTGCACTTTGAAGGTGCGAAGTGCATACCAAATAATGGGACCACTCTGGACAAGCTATTCAGGGTTGATTGTGCCGCCGCAAAATCGTCTAAAAGCAAGACGATATCGTCCGCATAATCTAGACCAATTAATCTTTCACCAGGCAGCACTTCAACGCCTACATCATGAGATTACGCAAGGGAACACTCCATGATAGAATCCACGACGAAATTGAACAAAAACAGAGAAATCGGACAACGCTGACGAACGCCACCTGCGGTCGGAAAGCTATCCGATAGGACACCATAGACCCTGACGCGGCCTGTAGTGTTCGAGTATAGAGCACGAAGGATGTTCACATATTTCGTGGGAACACCTTTTCGCGCAAGTAATTCGAACAGATTCGATCGATCGACTGAATGGAACGCACTCTTGAAATCGAGGAACACAGCTATTGTCGGTCTGCGGTATGCGTGGCGCTGCTCTAGCACCTGCCGCAAAGTAAATACATGGTCTATACAGCCACGTCCTGGGCGAAAACCGGCCTGCTCTTCCCTAATCCGAGATTCCCGTTCTGCAGTGAGGCGACGAACGATAATCGAGGCCAGTAATTTTGTCACAACTGGCGTTAGGCTAATACCCCTGTGGTTCGCACAGTCTGTGCGACTGCGCTTTTTGTCTATTGCCACTATAATCGATTCGCTCCAATTAGCCGGGACACTCTTCGTTCCAGATACGTTCGAATAAGGAGGTCAGTGCCCTGCAGAGGACCTCACCTCCATCCTTAAATAGTGCAGGTGGGAGGGAATCCGGGCCAGCGGCACGAAAACGATTGAGGGCTGTGATCGCGTTTCGGACCTCGGCCTCCGACGGAGGCTCTAAACTAACCGTCCATGGCTCGTCCTGCATCACCTGGGTAGGAAGAGGTCCGGGAGCAGGGGGCAAGTTGAATTGATCTTGAAAGTGTTCCACCCAACGAGCCATACGGCGCTCCTTATTGTGTATCAGCGCACTCGCGCTGTCTCTGATTGTCTCACTAACGCCTGGTTTCCTAGGACGAGTGGTGAGGACAAGCTGGAAGAGCTTCCGGTAATTGCCTACTGCCCCTGCCTCTTCCATTTCTTGAGCCCGACTGGTCCACCAGGCTTCCTTGTCAGTACGTAGGCTCCGCTTTAGTTCACGCCTAATAGCCCGTCTGGTCACATTGTGTTCAGAACCAGCCCAGAGGTGTCTTCTAGCTTCCAACAGGTTCACGTACCTCTCGGATATCCAGTGACTAGTGCGGTGACGATGGATAGTGCCACAAGCAGATGCTCCTGCGTTGTGCATGGCATCCGAGGTCCTATTCCGCTGAAGCTCAATGTCATTAGGACAAAACAGCGAGAGTTCGGTATGCAGTGCTTCTTGATAGGCTTGCCTGACCGAGGGCTGAGACAATTTCTCCGTTGCCAATCGGAGGGGACGCTTTGTGCGCCTTCCGGTAAAGTTCATGGAGAAACCACAGCGCACCAAGGCATGATCAGAGTCGACACAGGTACTCCAGTACGAGCGGCAATGCAGAATGGAACCGCGCCATCTGTAACTTATGGCTATGTGGTCAATTTGGGTCCATCGCTGGTCAGCTACAGGTGGACGCCAAGTGGCACTTCGGCGCCCACTGTGTCTAAAAGCAGTGCTAGAAAGGAACAACTGGTGTTCCGCACACAGTTGTAGCAGACGCTCACCGTTATCAGTCCGTTCGCAGTTAAGTCCATAATTACCACCCAGCTGAGCTTCTGAAGAGCTCAGACGCCCTACTTGTGCGTTCATATCCCTGCAAGCACTATAATATCTGAATTAGTAGCAGCGCGTAGTAGGGCGTTCAGTTCGTGATAGAAAGTGTCCTTGACTGCATTAGAACTGCAGTCGGTGGGTGCATAAACGGAAACCACAAACAAACAGCGTTTAGTACTACTTCGTGAATCAACCTTAGCTAATGTCGTTAAACGGGCTGCACATAAACGGCTGTTCACCGGAATCCAATCAAGCAACAATGGCTCAGCCTTAGAGCTGAGAATGATACCTACACCAACTTGACCCGTGAGCGCCGCATCGGCGTCTGCGGATGCGTGCAACGACAGGATAAGCCGGGTGCAGTCAATTCAATAACCCCGTTAGGGTCATTAATCCTAGTTTCGGACACACAACACACATCTACACTCAGTGTGTTCAAGGTGAGTGCGAGTGCAGCCTGCTGACCTGTTTGTCTTAGAGTGCGAAACATTGAATGTCGCCATGGAAACGGGACAGCGTGGCCTTATAAGGGACTTTTGCCGACAGGTGTCCGATAGGTGCTGTGTGATGGTGGCTGCAGATGGTTCTACTCCAGTAGCACTTCGGTTGCTGTCAATTAAGCTGGGAATTATAGGAAGGTTAGTAATGGGGGCCGGGATGGTAGTAAGAGAAAAAGGTGGAAAAGAAAGAAGGGAGGCGCCAGCAGTAGCATGTTTTCGCTTATCCGCCCTGCTGTATGCAGCAGATAAGGCGACCCTTGATAATCTGCGCGACGGCCGATGCAGGATGAAGTTTATGTTTGAAGAAAATGTCATGGTTGTATGTGGGCTGAGATACTGCCAGGGCGTCCAGACCTAGACAGGAGGACGACTAGGGTCCTCATCCAAAGCCTTTGGCTCAAAAGCCTGTCCGCAAGGCAACGGGGAGGTGGCAATGATTTCGTTTTACAGAAATGGACGCCATCCCATTTCAAACCCCCAACCTGGAGGACCAGGAGACTGAGTTTGTCTGACCTTTCACCATTGACCAACCTGGTAGGAGTAGCTCTCAAGATGCTCAGAGGCATCACCCAGTATAGCTCAATGGGTCAATGAGGTACGCAAACCGTCACACCACGTTAAGGTCCAGTCTCGTTGCGACGGCTATTCTCCAGTAGAGAAGAAAGACACACCCGGCCCTCATTCTATGGTGATGAACACTAGAACGCTGGTATCCGGAGAGATAACGCTCAACATGAGAAGTATCTGGAGATAACTAAGTCCCAGTGAAGGCTATTAGGTCCGGGAGTAGTTCCGGGGTAAGGAAAAGGGTCTCATCCAGTACGTTTCTTATGCTGCGCAGATTGGCAGACATCACCTGCAGTCTACGTATCAGCATTCATTCTACGACCTGGGTAGGACTAGGATCGGCCTCTGGCGAACTCTTGGAATTCTCAGCCCAACTCGAAAATTAACAATATGTAGATCTGTCTCGCCGGGTTCTCGGCTCATCCGCCACCACCTTCATTTTAACACGGTACTCAGAGCAAAAGTCTTTCAGAACAGAATATCTCTCCCCCAAGACATGTGATTCCCCTAGGATACGGTAGAATTCAGCTTCGTCTTGGCAGAAAGTTAAGGGGACGAAACTTAACAGTCTTCCTGCATTCTACCGAAATGAAATGTAGAAAGGTGTTAATTGCCGGTTCTCCGTCTCCGAACAATAGGGAGACCGTGCGTTGTAAGAATATTTGGTTGCCCAGTATTCTCCAAGACGGCGATTCTTTGTCAGATTTCGGGGCATTAATAATGATAAGACAGCGCTCTCGAGGAGAGAATCTAGCTTCTGCAGGACTATTTGGCTTTGTGGGGTTGGGGTGTGCCTTAGTCATATTCTCCACTTGATTTATCTTGTCTAAGACAAGTTTAAACTGCAAACGTGAAGTCTTTCTGGGTCTTACGTTTAACGAACTCCGCTCTGATATACTAACAACTGTCGCTGTTTTCGTGCTCTGACACACAACGGAGACATACGTTCTCAATATTCTGGGCAAGAGGCTGAAGAGTTTCAACCACGATTAATATGTAGAGTCGTTGGGCCAGACGTAGCATGTGATGGAAGGAGAGGGAATATTGGCTCCCCTACTTGGATCTCCGGTATGGGCATGAAGTCCTTTTCATCGGGGTTTTGTTTGCGAGTGGCGTTATTCTAGCTCCCCGAGGTGATAGCGTTCGTTACGGTGACATAGGTCCTGGGCTTACGTTTTGGCCCATTATTGTTTCCGCCATCGTAGTGGAGGTGTCACAGCTTCTTTGTCCTTTGGGTGTAGAATATCCAGACCCGAGCAAGTACACTAGTGAAACAGGTATCTCGCCGTCAGTTAGACCAGACTTGTGCAGAAGCAGTATGTATACTGAAGGGGTGTAGGTTCATCAGTTGTTTGTTGCTAATCACTGCCAGACACGGGTAAAGATCATGATCAAGGTTACAGTACACTGCGCGGCCACCTCTCACAGAGGGCCGCAGTGGACGGCCTTTGACAGGTTGACACTTTTACCACAGTTCACGCACTTGGACGTCATATTTTCGAAAATAAAATGTTGAAAAAAAGCAAATTTTACAACATGTGTTTATAAAAGCACTTTGCTTCATGATATATTCGACTAAAAGTCTCGAAATATAGTACGTCGAAAATTCGAGTTACTGCGCCTAGGTCAGATCGGTTACCATCGAGTACATAAACACTAAGAATGCTATCAAGACAAAAACTGCTCCGTGGTGGACTGCAAAACGACACTGTAGTAACCGACCCAACTGTTATTACAGACGCACTGATGCCGAGCTGCATAAACCTGTTTGCTGTGAGAAGAGTAAGCCAGCTAATAAAGATCACTCAAAGTGGAGATGCATAGCAAAAACAAGCACGGAGATAGCCAGCGATAAAGAACAAATATGATATAGAAGGCCCTAGAAATAATAGTAAATGCTTGCATTTGAGGGCAACGGTAAAAAAACGGAAAATGGCAAGTGAAAATCAAGACACCCCGGCACAGGGCATATGCAGTGGACATTTTCTGCATCATGCAATGTTCCTAGTAGAAGTAGGGTAGTGCCCCACAGGTCGGTCTAAGGACGGAGCGACCTTCTAACGATAAGCGATTAAAGTGTTGTCCGTGACGGATGCCTGGTACAGTTAGGGTAAATATTCTCAGGTAGTTTAGATGTATTATGGTCATTTAAATATTGAAGCCAAGTGAAGGGTCTTTTCTGTATACCTTATGGTTAAGGATAGAAGGCATTGTAAGTGTTTTGTTTAAATGAGTTATTCAGCTTGTACATTTCGCGCGTTTCCTGTCGTCCGCCATGCAGAATGATACCGCAGCTTTTCGTTGCAGGATAACTGGTGGTTACGATGCTATTGAGCAGTTCCAACGTGATTTGATTCGTTTCCAAAGAAAAACTGCGAGTTCGTTTTATAGATGCACGGTCATTACTGCGGAGGGACATAAGCAAAGGACTGGAAAGGATCTCCCTGATGGTTATCGGTATCGATTAATTCAATTTCGATGTGTGCATAGCAAGCGTAAGAACGTGAAAGGAAAGCGGTAAGGTGCACCATAAATTGACTGCTGTTAAATCTTTTAGTTATAGGTGCTACAACTGCGAGGCCCGATTTTCTGTGGTGCTGAAAGGCAGGTATTACGCGGAGCGACCTTCTAACAACAAGCGATTGAAGTATTGTCCGTGACGGTTGCCTGGTACAACCAGTGTAAACATGCACACGTAGTTTAGAGGTCGTATATAGTCATTTATACGGTAAGGGTAATTTAAGGGTAAGGTCATCATACGTCATCGTTAAAGACTGCGGACAGTGTATGGGGTTTGTTTATATAACTTATTTAGTTTGGCGCTTTTTGTGTCTTTCGCCATGCAGGAGGATACCACTACTTTTTATTACATGATAACTAGGGGTTACGAGGCAACTGAGGAGTTACAACGCGCTTACATGTGCTTCCAACAAGAAACTACATGCTTATTTTTTAGATGCTGGGTGATTACTGCGGCGGGTCATAAGCAAAGGAATGGAAACGATCTCCCCAATGGTTTTCGTTACCGATTCATTTAGTATCCATGTGTACACAGCAAGCGTAAGAATATGAACGGTAAACGCTAAAATGCCTGCTAATGTTGGCTGCTGATGGATCTTTTAGTCACAGGCGGTGCCACTGCAAGGACCGATTTTCCGTGGTGCTCTAAAGCAGGCATTATGAAATTGGCCTACTTGAAGCATTCGCATGTGTTCCAGCTAGGAACGTCTTGGATTTATCTGGCTACTCTGCGGCTTAATTCGGTACAGGCAGCGGCGGTAGTAGAGTTGATGAAGACGTTTCGTCAGATACAACTCCGGAATTTCTTGTTTACGTAATACGGCTCCCTTATTACCAGGCGTGCTATATATCATCTGAGGCTTGGGAGCCAGGCGGCGCCACTTAGTGAGGTAGAGCACGTAAGCAACCTGTTAGAAAACGAAGGTTCTTGTACGGCCTCCGTGCGAACAAGTGTGGTAGACAAATGTGTCCAGCAAATCAAGGATGAAGGGTACGACTGCTAGCGTTCAGCTAAGCCTTCCGCTAGCAGAGAGGCTGAAGCTAAAAGAGGCCATTGAGGACTTCAAAACCAAGCAAGCGACCGTTGTACAAGGTCTCCGGTTGGTGGGTTTTCGGGTGGTCAGCCGAGGGTGGTTTTCCGTCTTCTCAGTGGCAGTACTGATAGCTCACGACCCAGGGCTGCACATTGCGAGTAGCTTCAGATAGTGTTAAGCAATGGGAGCAGCCTAAGGCATAGGATGTGCGGGCTTGGTCTGCTTGTAGATGCGTCCAATCTAGATATATTTGCATGAACTGAAACGTGCCTGTCTCAGGACAGCCCGCCAGGGAAGCGTATCTCTCTGGCTACGCACTAATTCGATGTGATCGCTTCGTGGGTCGACAAGGCGGGGGCGTTGCCTTGTACGTTAGTTCTGGAACTGGCATTTTGAGTACCTACATGCTTCAGTCCGCAGATGAAACTTCGAAGTTTTCTCGGCAGTGCCTAGTACTTCATCAGCTCAAGTTACAGTAGTATTTGTGTATGGAAGCCCTGGAAATACCTCCAAAGTAGTGCTTGCTTTTCTTCGTTCCTGACGTTCTTGGCGACCTCCGGCACCTGCTCAACCTTGGACGCAACTTGATCACCTCCTTAGTAGTCATTGTTGGCGAGGCTGCATAACCGACCGCAAGTCAAGTTAGAACACTGAACTAACCCGATCATGTGCTCCTGTGTGCTAGGTTTATGCTTCGCCTTGGAGGCACCCATGGACGTCGCCGGAAACGGTTCGACACGGACTAGTTCTCAGCGTCTTTCAGAACACATTGGCCTCCAACCTACGTTCCCTATCCTCCGACGTTGAGACAAAATGGGCACAGATCCAAAGCTGATTACGAAAGTTCGCTGCCATGGTCTGTTGCTTCACTAGACGAGCTGCTACGCATATGCTGCCCACGCAAGTGCTCCAATTACTGGAAAGTCATAGAACAATTGCCGACGGAGTTGAATTCGAAGCTCTATGCAGAACCACAGATGCTGAGCTTAGGCGGCTCCTCAGGAAGGTTTGCTTCGTTTGGTGGACACAACGCGGAGTTAAGATTTAGGAGGCAGCGGCATCAGGAAACTAACGCAAACACTTCCAACTTATGCACTCCACCGGAGGTAGAAAGCCAGCAGTGAATCATGTTTTGTGTCACTCGTGGCTTCGTCGTGACCTCGGCCTTGTCTGAGGAAACAAGTCTATACTGCTTCGATACGAGCGATTCTGCTGTACGGCTATGAGACTTAGCCGTTCGTAAAAGCGATGTTTAGCGGCTATGGCTCTTCCATCACCGCTGCTTTTATTGCATTGCTGGTGTTCGATGGCAGCATCACATCAATACTGAGGAAGTCTGTTGGCGAGTCTGCAAATCTAAGAAACTGCGCCGATCGTTTAATAGCATCGTGTCACTGCGGAGGTTTTGCTGGCTTGGACATGTTCTCCGCATGTTTACGAAGTGGTTACCACCAACTGCCCTATCTTCTAAGTCCAGACTTGCCTTGGAAGCGACGGAGAGGTGGGCAATCTAAAGCTTGAGTGCAATGCGTTAAGGCACAAACGCTGGGGCTGGCTGTTGTCGGGCCTTCCCGACTCCCGGTTTGGGGGGCAAAGGACCACGAGCAATTCTGGTGACAAAGGCTGCAGGATAACGTCAAGAACCGTGCGCAAGCGCGAAACAGCCGTGAGGCTTCTACACTAACAGTTGTTTTTCCTTCAAAGCAATGGTTTTCTTTTCATGTGTCGTGGCAGCAAATTATGTCGGGATTGGTACATTGATGAATATATATATATATCTATATATATATATGGTTGACGGCATCCGGTTTCGGATTTGCCTGTCACTAATGCCAGCCACAGGATGCCTGCGCCACCAGAGCGACCATGTTTGGCTTGCGCTGCACCACCCACAGCTCCAACCACACACCCCATTTCCAGTGTTAAACCAAAGGAATAAGACCGGGAGGTATGCTGATGGGAACCACGTTTCATCAACGGAGCCGTCCCACACTCCATCACAGACAAACACAAGCACGCTGTATTTGGGAATCAAGCGCACATAAGGCGGTGGCTGGACCGTAGTCCGCTCCACACTGAGTGCACGGAACCACTTTTCGAGCCTAGCACGCACAGGAGGACCGTGCACCACTCCCTCTTCAGCAACGATAAGCTGGCTCCTAGAGCCAGCATGCACGAGGTAGTGGGTAATAGACAGGTAGGCACCTTGTCAACATGCACACCAAGCGCAGTCACACCGGAGATATCAAACATAAGCCAAACACTTAAGAGAGAGAGAGATACAAAAAAGTAACTCGATTAATGGGTAAGAAAACGGTGACATAAACCTTACGTTAATGAGCATATGAAATAAGTTGTGTACAAACGAATCCTAGATAAGTTCACGAGGTCGGAAAGTATACTTTACGGAAATGCCATGAACAATAAATTTTATGGAACTCGAATACAATTGGCTTCAGCGAGGTGTGCAAGTTAATGGAATAGATTACAGGTAGACATTTATATGAGAAAGAAAAGCATTTAGGCAAAATTGAAAACCCACACCTGAAACAAATAGACTTAGCATGCAAGCACGCGGTTAGTGAATCTAATGCAGCGTACCTGCAAACGCTGCGCTGGTTCTGAATATTTCTCTGCAGGACCCGTCGTCGTTTCAGTAGTGGTCCCGAGTGGTCTCGCTCATGGCTCACTAGATATTTATATGAGAAAGAAAAGCATTAGGACAAAATTTAAAACCCACCGCCTGATATAAGGAGACTTACCATGCAAGCACACGGTTAGTAAATCGAATGCAGCGTGCCTGCAAACGCTGCGTCGGTTCTGTCTACGTTCTCTGCAGGACCCATCGTCGTTTCGGCAGTATTCCATAGT